TCACATGTAATTTGTATCTACAACAACAATTTTCTCAATTTAGATGAAGTGAGAGCCTTGGAAAGTGGTATTCGTTCAATAGGATTACGAGGGAAGCTCTGTTACAAACCTGATGTTTACACATACTGTGGTATATACAGTAGAAACCAGTGGGGAATATCTCCGATCATCTCCAAAAGCAACTACGACATCAAATTGGAGAAGTCGAGGATTGAACTGTTTTAGAGAATTTAGTCATGATTAAATCCCAGTTAAATCTAGTTTTGGTGAAGTTTTCCATAAACTGGTAAATAATACGAGCGCAGCTCTCTGGCACCAGTTCTGGCACCAGTTCTGGCAAAGTTTACAATACACTGGTAAATAATACGAGTGCAGCTCTCTGGCACCAGTTCTGGTAAAGTGTACCATACACTTGTACTGGTAAATAATATGAGCGTAGCTCTCGGGCATCGCTGTCTTACCATAACACCCGTGGGTATTGTTTTGTTGCCGTTACCAGATTATCCAATACCCAACTGCTTCGAAGAATGTGTGCCAGCGGGAAATGTCTCTTGCCTCCACTATAGGCCACCATTTTGAAAATACTTTTTTTTTATATTGACATGCGCAATTGATGTAACCCAAATACAATCATGCCTTACTCCTAAAATAAAGACGTTGTTCATGCTGTAGCGATATCTAGCCTTGAGCGGTTTGGTATTTGTTTTAGACTGGATTACCTACCCTAGTTCTATTACTCTTCACAAGGCTGTGCTCTTTGATTTTTGAAGTAATTTTAAAGTCTAGAAGGGTATAGAAAAAACTACAGCAGGCAAAACCAGTAAAGAGCCCAGCCTAGCGAAGAAAAAAGTTACTAGGGCAGGTAATCCAGCTCTAACAATTCAAAGCCGCTGATTGTATGTTCAAAGGCTGACTGATGGTAGAATAAGTGGCTGTATTGGTACACATTTGCTTATATGGCAAGGTATTATTTTACCTACACAGCTGATACCATTTATGTAAGAAAATCATTACAAATTATAGCAATGAACGTTAGAAATTGTGTTGGGTAGCCCATTCAAAACAGCGACAGCCTTGTAGTCAAGCATGATGTTGTGATAGGGTGCCAAAGATCACACTTGTATATCCTTGACGGTTTTGAGGCAGTAAAAAAATTGTAGTTATAGGTGCTATTAAAATGTAATAAGTAGAAAATTGCATGGTTTCAGAATTTTAACATACCAAGATTTTCACTCATGCTGGGTGTTCATTACAATTTTATATCAAAAATGTAACAAGAGGCCCAATGGGCCTACATCGCTCACCTGGTATTAATCTCACAATTGTAACCTTAAAAGTGGACTAAAATAAAGCTACAGGCAAAATATCAGTGTTTTGACTTAAGAAGAACCTGTTAAACGATTAAAACACATTTGACCCTTGTCACCTTAAAAGTCAAACATGGACATTTCAATTGAACAAACTTCATAGCCCTTCCTACCAGAATGCAATTTGCCAAATATCACCATCTTATACCTTTTGTTTATTGAGAAGATGACTTTTAAAGATTTATGCACTATGAACCAGATGTGACCAGGAAAGTGTGTCAAGGTCAATTCAGAAAAAGTCGTTTAAAGATTTCAACATATTTGACCCCTGTGACCTTGAGTATGGACAAAAGTCATTAATTTGAACAAACTTTGTAGCCCTACATGCCAACATCCTTCTGGCCCAATATCATCACCCTGGACCATTTGGTTATACAGTAGAAGTCGTTTAAAGGTTTTCAAGACAATTGACCCCTGTGACCTTGAGCTTGGACGAAGATCATTCATTATTTTAACAAACTTCGTAGCCCTTTATGCCAACATCCTTCTGACCAAATATCACCATCCTGGACCTTTTGGTAATATACAGAGGAAGTTGTTTAAAGGTTTTTAAGACAATTGACCCTTTTGACCTTGAATATGAGTGAAGGTCATTCATTTGAACAAACTTCGTAGCCCTTTATCCAAGCATATGCTACTGGCCAAATATCAACACCCTAGACATTTGGTTATTTAGAAGAAGGTATTTAAAGATTTAAACATATTTGACCCCTGTGACCTTGAATATAGGCGAAGGTCATTCATTTGAACAAACTTGGAAGTGCTTCATCCCAGCATGATATTGGCCAAATATCATCATCCTGGGCCTTCTGGTTTTTCAGAAGAAGTTATTTTAAGATTTCAACATATTTGACCCCCCTGTGACCTTGAATATAGGCAAAGGTCATTCATTTGAACAAACTTGGTAGTGCTTCATCCCAGCATGATATTGGCCAAATATCATCATCCTGGGCCTTCTGGTTTTTCAAAAGAAGATATTTTAAGATTTCAACATATTTGACCCCCCTGTGACCTTGAATATAGGCAAAGGTCATTCATTTGAACAAACTTGGTAGTGCTTCATCCCAGCATGATATTGGCCAAATATCATCATCCTGGGCCTTCTGGTTTTTCAGAAGAAGTTATTTTAAGATTTCAACATATTTGACCCCCCTGTGACCTTGAATATAGGCAAAGGTCATTCATTTGACCAAACTTGGTAGCCCTTTATCCCAGCATGCTACTGGCCAAATATCATCACCCTGGGCTTCTTGGTTATTCAGAAGAAGTTGTTTAAGTAAGAAGTTGACGACGGACGCGGGACGCCGCACCACTTGGTTGAGCTAATAAAACCAGTTGTCAGTAATCCTATCAATTCAACAATAATTTTTTTGCTCAATAAAAACAAAACAATGAGCAAACTATGCAGCAGAAGTATATTGTATTTATGATTTGTTGATAAAGTTAAGTTTACTGGTCCCTTGGTTACATGTTTTATGTGCAATATATACCACACAGATGACATGAATATAATATACGTAGTTCAAGACGTAGTAAAACTTGAGAAAAGAGTAAAGAAGTGTATAGGAGTGGAAAATTGCATTTCTTTCCACATCTGAAAGTTTCCCCATTTTTCCCTCAGGAAGAAATCGTCTGAAAGAATTGGCTGTTACACCAATTTCATGCTAGTGTAGTGTATAAACCTGTATACATTTAATTCCATGCTAGTGTAATGTATTAACCTGTATACATTTAATTACATGCTATAGTATACAGTTATTGTATGGGTGTGGGGGAAATAGTACTTTTATTGTCCCCCGAGACATTAATGTCACTGTTTTATTATACCAACAACAATGTTATTCCATTTCTTTTTAAAGATGCATGTAATAAAAGAAAGTCTGTCTCAATGAACAAAAATTCTGCGAAAATTTGAATTCCGGGTAAATAGCTCTCATGACTATGTACCTGGTAAATAGTTTCTTGAAAGAAGTTATTTTGAATAGCATTTCTATTTTCAACTTTTATATAATGTAAAAAAGAAGAAAGGTATATAAATGTAGTGTATTTACATGTATACATTTCATGCTGTGCTAGTGTAGTGTATTTACATGTATACCTTTCGTGCCGTGATAGTGTGGAGTATTTACATGTATACATTTAATTATATGCTAGTGTGGAGTATTTACACGTATGCATTTCATGCTGTGCTAGTGTAGTGTATTTACATGTATACATTTCATGCCGTGCTCGTGTAGTGTATTTACATGTATACATTTCGTGCCGTGATAGTGTGGAGTATTTACACGTATGCATTTCATGCTGTGCTAGTGTAGTGTATTTACATGTATACATTTCATGCCGTGCTAGTGTAGTGTATTTACATGTATACATTTCATGCCCTGCTAGTGTAGTGTATTTACATGTATACATTTCATGCCCTGCTAGTGTAGTGTATTTACTTGTATACATTTAGTTCTATGCTAGTGTATTGTATTTACATGTATACATTTCATGCCATGATAGAGCAGTATGGTATTTACCAATATTGCCCCGAGGTCTGGCTCTGCCCTTGTGACTCAGTCCCCTGCTACAACATGAAAATGGTTGAGATCCTCACCCTTAGAACAGTATACCCATACAATTATATGTATACATCTGTATTGCTTGATAGAAATGGACAAATGTACAATGGTCTCCTCCTGCATTTAGAGACTTAGTCCCTTGGTCATAACATGGAAATGATTGAGATCCCCACTCTGTCATAGTATCCCTTTATCCAAGCTCACCTGGTGAAGGGCATCCGTTGTCCATCTGATGTCAATTTATTTTTAAGAATGACTTCTTCTCTAAGTTTGTTCAAATGAATGGTCTTGGCCCACATTCAAGGTCACTGGGGTCAAATATTTTTAAAATCCTCAAACAACTTCTTCTCAATAAGCAAAAAAGCCAGGAAATAACATGCTTTGATGAATGGCTACCAATTTTGTTCAAATAAATGACCTTGACCCACTTTCAAGGTCAATGGGGTCAAATATATTTAAATATTTAGACAACTACTTAAACAAGAGATCCCAGAGGGATCTTGGCACCACCATTGTACCATCTTCATTGTTCTTTGTCAGTTCAATCTTTTCTCTTTTTTCTCTAATCTGTTTGATCGAGTCATGTTACCAGTAAATGCACCTTGAGGTATTTTTTTTTATCTAAGCTTAATACTGCTGTGTATAAAAGACAACCTTCAAAGTGAATTTGTCATTTGACATATTTACTAGTAATACAGTGCTTAATGTGAAAGAAATAGAACCGATCATTGCAATATGAGAAAGATCTGTTTAGTTCTTCCTTCGGCCATTTTGTTTTTATGATCAGTTTCAAAATATAACATGCACAACAAGGGATCAAGGGGAACCTACATATCAAATTTGAATTCCAAGATGGCTGCCTGTTGGCCATTTTGTTTATCTGATCTGTGCAGTCTCAAAAGTAAACCTGCACAACGACAGACCAATGGGAACCTACATATAAAATTTGAGAAAGATCCCTACAGTACTAGTGCTTCCTAAGAAATAGTGATATAACAAACTTTCACTGTAAAAATCGAAGATCATACAGGCTGCCTGTCGACCATTTTGTTTATCTAATCAGTCTCTTAATTATGCACAACTAGGGACCAATGGGAACCGACATATAAATTTGAGAAAAATTCCTCCTGTACTTCCTGAGAAATAGCGGTAAACAAGAATTGTTTAAGGACGGACCACGGACCACGGACGCAGGGAAATTTGAAAAAACCAGGGTGGTGATGTTTGGCCTGTAGTTTAGTTTAGCACATTTTTATGTATTCAACCTTGTCAACTTTTAAGGTTACTGATGTGAGATGGTGGAGCAATACAGGCCCATTGTGCTTCATGTGTTAGCATATTTACAATTGGATATATGAGAGAGATGGATAGGAACTTTTACAAACACATTGAAATAATGTTGTAGGCTACTTCCAAATTCCCTTTTGGTTCAAGTCAACATCACAAAACAAAAAAGTTCAAAAAGTGTTTCAATTTACCCTATAAAGGATATATTCTAAGCATAGATTTTCTGAAATTTAAAGGCTGTATGAAAATGAATGTTATACAGCGTATTGAAATTAAGGTATTTTTCCACCTAATATAAAATAAATCTTCATCAGGTATCTTCAATTCTGACAAAGGATATCATATATTAAGTTAATCATGTTACAGCAGCTGTGGTACCAAATCCCATTTATTATTTGTAGGTTCAGAGGCTATAACTCAGTATAAAACAAAAGGAAAGTGTAGTGAATATTATATGCATTTTATGTAAGTGTACTTAAATGAGTAAAGTTGTAAATTTCAACTCAACATATTATTAGAAAAAAAATTATGGAGAAAACAAAACACATTTCACTTAAAAATTACCTGAAACAACCTCCTGACTAAAACCTCCATTTTATAAAACATTTCTTAAGTGCCGAATGAATTTGTGTTATTTTTTATTCTTTTATATATGCCTATTTAATGTACACCTGCTTTCAAAAACAGAAATCGTACCATTTTGGTTTTTAATCTCATTTCAAAAACAGCAAATTATATTTGTGATTTACCCTACACCGTTTAGTACCCTCAAAAACTTGCTTCGGTCAAATTTTAACTTATTTTTTTCCCACAAGTAATAAAATAGGTCATCTTTGATTATACCGCGACCCAAAAAAGGGCCTTATAGAAGTTCATCCTTTGGTACAAATTTTCTCCTGATGGCTCTTCCGAATTGATGTTTATTATTGGGTCATTTAGATAAATCCTGTTGTTTTGTCACTAGCAATCCTGTCATTTTGTCACTATCAATCCTGTCAATTTGTCACTATCAAACCTGTTGTCGGTCACCATCAGTTCTGTTGTTTTGTCACTATCAATCCTTTTTTTGTCAATATCAATCCAGAAGCTATTTCACTATCAATGCTGTTGTTGTATTATCATCAATACTGTTGTTTTGTCACTATCAATGCTATTGCTTTGTCACTATCAATCCTGTTGTTTTGTCATCATCAATCCTGTTGTTTTGTCATCATCAATACTGTTGTTTTGTCACTATCAATCCTTTTTTTGTCACTATCAATACTGTTGTTTTGTCACTATCAATGCTGTTGCTTTCTCACTGTCAATCCTGTTATTTTGTCACTATCAATAATGTTGTTTTGTCACTGTCAATGCTATTGCTTTGTCACTATCAATCCTGTTATTTTGTCATCATCAATGCTGTTTTGTCAATATCACATGTTGTTTTGTCACAATCGATCCTGTTGTTTTGTCACTATCAATCCTTTTTTTGTCAATATCAATCCAGAAGCTATTTCACTATTAATGATTTTGCTTTGTCACTATCAATCCTGTTGTTTTGTCATCATCAATCCTGTTGTTTTGTCACTTACAATGCTATTACTTTGTCACTATCAATCCTGTTGTTTTGTCATCATCAATATTGTTTTTTTGTCAATATCACATGTTGTTTTTGACACAATCTATCCTGTTGTTTTGTCATCATCAATGCTGTTGCTTTGTCACTATCAATGCTGTTGCTTTGTCACTATCAATTCTGTTGTTTTGTCATCATCAATCCTGTTGTTTTGTCACTATCAATGCTATTACTTTGTCACTATCAATCCTGTTGTTTTGTCACTATCACATCTGTTGTTTTGTTACTATCAATCATTTCTATGTCACTATCAATCCTGTTGTCTGTCACTATCAATCCTGTAGTTTTGTCACTATCAATCCTGTAGTTTTGTCACTATCAATCCTGTTGTTTTGTCATCATCAATCCTGTTGTTTTGTCACTATCAATGCTATTACTTTGTCACTAACAATCCTGTTGTTTTGTCATCATCAATATTGTTTTTTTATCAATATCACATGTTGTTTTTGTCACAATCTATCCTGTTGTTTTGTCATCATCAATGCTGTTGCTTTGTCACTATCAATACTGTTGCTTTGTCACTATCAATCCTGTTGTTTTGTCACTATCACATCTGTTGTTTTGTTACTATCAATCATTTCTATGTCACTATCAATCCTGTTGTCTGTCACTATCAATCCTGTAGTTTTGTCACTATCAATCTTTTTTTTTTGGCACTATCAATCTTTTTTGTGTCAATATCAATCCAGAAGCTATTTCACTATCAATGCTGTTGATTTGTCACTATCACATCTGTTGTTTTGTCACTATCAATCCTTTTTTTGTCAATATCAATCCTGTAGTTTTGTCAGTATCAATCTTTTTTTTTTTTCACTATCAATCTTTTTTTGTGTCAATATCAATCCAGAAGCTATTTCACTATCAATGCTGTTGATTTGTCACTATCACATCTGTTGTTTTGTCACTATCAATCCTTTTTTTGTCAATATCAATCCTGTAGTTTTGTCACTATCAATCTTTTTTTTTTGTCACTATCAATCTTTTTTGTGTCAATATCAATCCAGAAGCTATTTCACTATCAATGCTGTTGATTTGTCACTATCAATGCTATTGCTTTGTCATCATCAATACTNTCAAATTGGTACATATTTCAACAACAAAAATAAATACTATAGACTCAGGTGACCGTTAAGGCCCATGGGCCTCTTGTTTCACTATCGATCCTTTTTTTTGTCACTATCAAGTCTTTTTTCGTTAATATCAATCCAGAAGCTATTTCACTATCAATGCTGTTGCTTTGTCACATTCGGTCCTGTAGTTTTGTCACTATCAATCCTGTAGTTTTGTCACTATCAATCCTGTTGTTTTGTCACTATCACATCTGTTGTTTTGTTACTATCAATCATTTCTATGTCACTATCAATCCTGTTGTCTGTCATTTTCAATCCTGTTTTTGTCCCTTTTAGTCCTGTTGTTTGTCACCATCAACTCTGTCCTTTAGCTAGTTAAATTCATTTGTCAATCATGTGGTGTTATACTTCAAAAGATAATGCAACAATTCTTTTCAAGTTTTATATAAAAATGTTTTTATTCAATTGGGAAGCCATTGCCATGTGTTAAATCAGTAGCAACGAGGTGGTAACAGCATCATTAAATTTACTAGTGAAACAAAATATCGAAAAATGCAGATAATATTGAAATTGTGTAGGTTAATAGTCATTATAGATCAAACATCCCGTAGTAAATGCATTGGTAAAATGATAAATGAGGCCAACACACAAAACAGGCTGACGGGTAGGCAGTAACACTGTGGCCATCTCTGTACACATAACAGTATATACAGGTGTATGTACACTATATTTGGGGTTTAATTCTCTATATATGATATGTTAATGATCCGAAAACCCAGAAAACATGGGGATGAAATATGGAAGACTAAATCACTTCGTCGCTTCAAAATGCACATTTTAAAGTTTGCTATATATATTCTATTGCACAATCAAATAAATTAACAAGCTTACTTTCAAGTAAACAAAGACCTGTTTTAAATACATATACCAATCTATCAAGAAAATATATAACATTTGTCAGACACGTAAATAGAGGGACACACCTTTTTGATCTACTGTACATCTTTCTCATCATCAATAAAATTAACAAAGTATTATAAGTTATACCTTCAGCTAGGAAAATCCTATATAGGACTTGTAAAAAATCAAACTGATGTAATATTTCATAAATCGAAAAAAAAAGACCATATCTTAAAAACTTTCCATAATACCACAACTGGTAATTTAAAAGCTGATCTTAAAACATACAGTTTTACAAAGGGCACCAAATAAATAACAAGTATAACACAAAACCCGAAATTTTCAAAGAATAGAAATAATCATATTTCACAAAATGAGGAATTAGTCAGAAACAATATACAATCATATAAATAAATGTCCATTTAACCACGTGTTACACTATAAGAACACTCAAAACCTACATATCGGGATCAACTGGTGAGCTGCACAGCTCAGACTAATAAACAATAGGACTCAAGTAAGAAAACTTGATCATTTTTTGTCAAATTTAACTTAAAACTTACGTATATAACTTACATAAAAAAAACCAACATTGCACACTTTCCCATTTTCACTTCAATCAGGATTCTCTTGTCTCAGAATTCACAACGGTTAATGTTTATCACGATAGTTCCTTCTGTAAAACTCATCTGTCGTTTTTGTCCAAACAACCTTTCAAATGTGCAACACATTTTATCAATCACCAGATGAGTGCGAGGTTGTTTTCATAATACTGATTTTCTGTATATAACAAAAGCAACTTGCTTTTAAACTAATAAACTTTCATACAGTTAATATAGATTGTCAATAGAAACCAGACCAGCAGTTAAGTACCAATTTTCAGTTGACCTTCAACCCCCATGGGTCATTTGGATCAATCCAAATTTTTGAATTAGTCGATTGAGGGAACACAGGGCCATGTTGGTGATGTTTTCATCGTGAAGATACATCTGAGATATCACATGTTGGCTTGGCATCCTACGAAGGTACACATCAGGTGTAGGTAAGGTCTGTGAAGGGGCGCCATGTCAACTGAGCCTCACTCTGAGGCTAGTTACCGTGCCAATGGAGAGAAAGCTTTGCTCTGATGCTAGTGACCTAAAGAAAGGTCAACAAATAGCTCCACTGGGGAATAATGTTTGCATCTCTGTTCTTGGGGAAGAGCATTTGGTTGGATTATTCCCCAATATTTGAGCAGATTGATTCAGCTTGGGACAAAAGGACTGAAACTGAGGACCTTAATGATCAGGATTGTCAGCCTCTCTTTGGAATTTTAGTTACCATGACTGTTATCAGTCTCTGTTTGGTTACGTTAGGTTGAAGCTTCGTCCTCGTACTGCTTTCTGAAGCAGTCACCCACAGGGAAGAAATCCCAGCACCTTTGCTGATACAGCTCCCATACATAAGACTCCTGTAAACCACACAAACATATAACTTCATTAAGTAAGGGAGATATTTTCTTCGTACTTTGAGGAATAAGATTTTCATTTCTTATCTGTTTTCTGTGAAACTGATGCAGTACGTATCATTAATTTGGAGTTCATGTAATAAAGCACCATTTGACAAGGACTCAAATAAAATAATATTATACCACAATACATCTTTTGTGGAAACAGTAATAGTTTTGTCATCAAGGTAAAAATGTATTGGTATGTATCAAAGTCATTATCTGGCATGGCTGACCGTAGTCAACATTCTGTCTTCTATGAAAGTATATCAAGATATTTCAACTGACTTTGCCTCCAGTCCATATTGACAAAATACAACATTCTGAATGATGTAACATCTGTACAAGGAAAGATCATTACAATTTGGTACTTCACAAGATGGGGTCATCTAACCTCTGCAAAAAAAATCGTCAAGGAGGAGGTTTTCAGGAAGCTGTACACAATACAACTTTAACCAACATGAAAGGTGGATTGTCAATCTATAAGTTCTGACTGATTGTCAACCATGGCAGATGACGAACGTATGAATGATCTCACTGAAGAAACGGCAAACTACGGACTTAGATGTCGTAACTGTGGTTTAACTCACCTGTCCTGTGTATTCCGTATCAGGCTTATTGATTAAATGCATCAAGAAGAACCTGAAATAACACGAGAATTATTTAATTACGTAAAACCTATTCCGTCTTTGCATATTGCAGAGTTATCTTCTCTTGTGAGCAGGAATTGATTGTTACGTCATTGGTTTGTGTGAGAAAATTACGTCGTTTTCTCATTCTGCATTATTTAGGTACATAAAACCTGTACCTTAAATGACACGAGAATTATTTAATTATGTAAAACATATCTTTCTCACCACAAAATACTCCTTTATTAGCAATTTCTTTGATCTGCTCATTTCCGATGATAAATTTACATATTTCAGAAATATAGGACATTGTCATGAATGTTTCAATGTAGCCAAAAGTTATCCTAGTTCTATAAGCAATACTCACATGTAATTTGCGAAATTGTGTTCATTCTTGACATGGGTCTCGAACCCATGTGGTATTTTATCAAAGTATTCTTTTCCGATACCACAGATGAAGCATTTTGACTGAAATAGAAGAACATTGCACACTATATACTAGGTGTGTTTACAAACATCGAGGATTCATTTTTCACACTCCTTAGTAGGCTACAAACGTTTGAAAATTCCCAGCAAATTTTGGGCATTAGAAGATGTCACACATAGGTAAACCTTTACTAAAGTTAATCAACCGTAAACCCTTTAATGATGTGTTGATGTAGGCTTCCCCTCGGAATAAACCGTAGAATCCAGATAGACTGTATTGACGATCTGAAGTGAATTTGTTCATCCTTACTTTTTTTACATAGCTTTTTGAAGTTTTTACAAAAATTCATGATAAGATGACTACAGGAATAAAACAATTTTAGCTAAGAATCCTGAGTGACAGCTTAAGTAGAGTGTGTCGAGGTACTGACCTCCATGTCTTCTTTGACCTGTTCTAGCTGGTCCCTGAGCTCACCAAAGGCATCAATGATCAAACCTAGGACATAAACATAACAGTAAGTACATCAATGATCAAACCTAGGGCATAAACATAACAGTATGTAAATCAGTGATCAAACCTAGGACATAAACATAACAGTAAGTACATCAATGATCAAACCTAGGGCATAAACATAACAGCATGTATATCAGTGATCAAACCTAGGACATAATCATAACAGTATGTATATCAGTGATCAAACCTAGGACATAATCATAATAGTATGTACATCAGTGATAAAACCTAGGACATAAACATAACAGTATGTACATCAATGATCAAACCTAATCATTATAGTATGTATATCAGTGAGATAGTTGGAAAATGTTGATTACCAGATACAGATCTAGAGTATGGATGTCTGTGTAAGCAACAGAGAATGATTAGCCTGTTAAACCTACATTGGATGATGGCCTGTATAATGGATGTCTGTGTAAGCAGCAGCAGAGAATAATTAGCCTGTTAAACCTACCTTGGATGATGGCCTGTATATCGGGATGTGTGTGTAAACAGCAGAGAATGATTAGCCTGTTTTACCTACCTTGGATGATGGCCTGTATATCGGGATGTGTGTGTAAACAGCAGAGAATGATTAGCCTGGTATACCTACCTTGGATGATGGCCTGTATATCGGGATGTCTGTGTAAGCAACAGAGAATGATTAGCCTGTTTTACCTACCTTGGATGATGGCCTGATTATCGGGATGTCTGTGTAAGCAACAGAGAATGATTAGCCTGTTATACCTACCTTGGATGATGGCCTGTATATCAGGATGTCTGTAAGCAACAGAGAATGATTAGCCTGTTATACCTACCTTGGATGATTGCCTGTATATTGGAATGTCTGTGTAAGCAACAGAGAATAATTTGCCTGTTTTACCTACCTTGGATGATGGCCTGATTATCGGGATGTCTGTGTAAGCAACAGAGAATGATTGGCCTGGTATACCTACCTTGGATGATGGCCAGCAGGATGACAATGACAAAGAAGAAGAAAGTGATATCGAACAGGATCCTGTACACTTCATAGGCATCTCCGTCAGCTGGCTCAATCTCGTCACCTTTAATAGAGAAGAACAAGAAATTAATAAAAGTTTTTATACCATACTTGTAATTTTCATGTTGCACTTGGAAATGGAATTGTGCTTTAAATAACATTGATAAAGTTTTTATTTCCGAGTCTGATCACTACCACCAGACACAGGTCATTAAGGTGAGGTCTGCTACCTTATACTACCACCAGCCACAGGCCATTAAGGTGATGTCTGCTACCTTACACTACCACCAGCCACAGGTCATTAAGGTGATGTCTGCTACCTTACACTACCACCAGACACAGGTCATTAAGGTGATGTCTGCTACCTTATATTACTGCCAGCCACAGGTCATTAAGCTGATGTCTGCTACCTTATATTACCGCCAGCCATAGGCCATTAAGGTGATGTCTGCTAACTTATACTACCACCAGCCAGAGGTCATTAAGGTGATGTCTGCTACCTTACACTACCACCAGCCACAGATCATTAAGGTGATGTATGCTACCTTATACTCCCAAACCTATCAAAACTTAACCTTAACTTTCCACTGGTGCATTCACTAAGAGTAGTCAAAACTACTTCAGTGAAACTATAAAATATGTAGATCCTGTTCTTCTGACCCGATAATGACTGTGACCTAAAAAGTATGACTATATGACTTACCTACATATTATGACGATGTAAATAAGTGTATGGCTATGTGACTTAGTGTATCGCTATATGACTTAATGTATGACTACGTGACTAAATGTATGACTACGTGACATAGAGTATGACGTTGTGACTTAATGTATGACTACGTGACTAAGTGTATGACTATGTGACTTAATGTATGACTATGTGACTTAATGTATGACTATGTGACTTAGTGTATGACTATGTGACTTAGTGTATGACTATGTGACTTAGTGTATGACTATGTGACTTAGTGTATGACTATGTGACTTAGTGTATGACTATGTGACTTAGTGTATGACTATGTGACTTAGTGTATGACTATGTGACTTAGTGTATGACTATGTGACTTAGTGTATGACTATGTGACTTAGTGTATGACTATGTGACTTAGTGTATGACTATGTGACTTAGTGTATGACTATGTGACTTAGTGTATGACTATGTGACTTAGTGTATGACTATGTGACTTAGTGTATGACTATGTGACTTAGTGTATGACTATGTGACTTAAGTGTATGACTTTGTGACTTAATGTATGACTGTCACTTAATGTATGACTATGTGACTTAATGTATGACTATGTGACTTAGTGTATGGCTATGTGACTTAATGTATGACTATGTGACTTAATGTATGACTATATATGTGACTTAATGTATGAATATGTGACTTAGTGTATGCCTATGTGACTTAATGTTTGACTACGTGACATAGAGTATGAAGTTGTGACTTAATGTATGACTATGTGACTTAATGTATGACTATGTGACTTAGTGTATGGCTATGTGACTTAATGTATGACTATGTGACTTAATGTATGACTATATATGTGACTTAATGTATGAATATGTGACTTAAGTGTATGACGATGTGACTTAATGTATGATCATGTGACTTAATGTATGACTATAGATGTGACTTAATGTATGACCATGTGACTTAATGTATGACTATGTGACAGAGTATGACTATTTGACTTAAAATGCATGACTATGTGACTTAATGTATGACTATGTGACTTAATGTATGACTACATGACTAAATGTATGACTACATGACTAAATGTATGACTACGTGACATAGAGTATGACTATGTGACTTAATGTATGACTATGTGACTTAATGTATGACTA